GCTTTGATTTGAACGAAAACAGCGCATCCGTGCAGCGCGGCTGACAGAATAGCGTATGCTGCTTGCGTTCAGTGGTTATTCTCCAAAATGGCACTACAGTGATGCGGCGAGACACAGAGGAGACGAATTGTTGAATAAAGTCATTAAGTTTGTTTTCTTTGCGTACAAAAATTATTCTCGTCGCTTCATAACGTTACGGTTGAACCACTGATGGTAGATGGACTAATCTGACGATGCTTTCATACTTTTCTGGACCTTGACAGTGTAATTTACTTGGCAGTCAATGGGACAGTCACAAGCCTCCCGGTTTTCATCCAAAATATCTTAAATTGTGTTCCGAAGATGAACGAAGCTTTCACGGGTTTGGAAAGACATGGGGGTAAGTGATTAATGACTATTTTCATTTTGGGGTGGAGTAACCCTTTAAGTTTTTAATAACTGCAACAACAGCAGAAACATTGAAATAATGACATTAACATAGATGGGCAGATTTTAAATGATAAATGTCATAAAAAGATAAAGCTTGGTAATTGGAAAACCTCACATTTCAGACTTTAGACCATTTTTAAGAAAAGGGATATGAATCAAAATGATGATTGTAGGTGTTTTATCTGCTCTATTAATAATTCTAGATAGCTTATTATCCAAATTGTTTCGATTGTTAGACTGCACGTTCACTTATTTTACATCAACTTGTTAAACTTTACAACAGTGCATGAAAATTCAGTCTGATTTTTGCATTGGTTTGAACAAAAACAGCAGATGGGCCAAATGAAAATGCAAATCCCCTTGCAAATCTTCAGCGACCCGCTGGCTTGGGAACCAATGTGTTAGATTATTAAAATGTTCTTCACACTCACTGAAAGTTCTTCTGCGGCTGTCCCTTATTTGTCAAGGGCGTTCCTTGTTTTCTGTGGTAGAATGTGACTGATTAAATAAATGTACATGCTACAAATCAAATAAAGTATAATAAACAGTAATTCTGCAGGTTTAGGGTGGCATGCTTATCTCTACTGATCCACAGCCTACCTGCCCCTTAGAGGAACTGGTGTAATGCTCTCAGAAGATGAGCCAGCCACCATGTGCCACCTACTCTGGTGGGCATGAGTGGGTTTTGGCTGCTGTGCATAATTTGAATGCAGACTTCAAATTTCAGTGTTGAAAGGGGACTAATCTCTTCTTCCACTTCTTCCAAGTGCTGTTTTTGGCAACATTCTTGTATGAAAGATCCCGTCTGTGGACATGCAGAATAAACCCATGGTCCTCAGCCTGGCTACAGCAGTACTCTTTATGCTGCACCGTCAGTGGCTCTTCCATTCTTTGGCCCTCGCTTGACTGCAGACACCGTCCATCATAACACAGATACTGTAGCTTTTGTTCTTGACATTGGCTTATGCTACTCACTCTCCTGCCCTACAAGTGCATGCATAAAGCATTTCTTGTTCCTCGACCACACTGTCATGACAGCAGGCCGACATCAACTAGAAGAATTTTGAGCATATCTGAGTCTTTCCGTTCATCAGCCTTATCAAATAGAAAACAGGTCAACATTACAAAATCGCACTCCAGCTAGCTAGTGCTCACATAGTGTGATCTGTAACCTTAAAATAAGCTAACCTTACATTAGCTGCCTTTTGTCGTAAACAGGGATATGATAAATTGGTTCCTGGCAGTCTGCATGGGCTCTACACCTGCATGCCGGTCTGATAATATCTTCCATCTGTGGTGAAAGCATGGGTTCGCATTAATAACTAATAAAAAGTTTTTTTTTTATGCATCCAGGTGAAGTAAAAAAAAAAAAGCCTCATTCTCCTCTCTGAATTTCCATTTTACTTCAAAGGATCCCTTTTCAATTTTCTCCCAAATTTTCAGCCAATAGTACAGGAATATTAAGGGGCAAAAATGTAAAATGTTTTCCTCTGAAAGAGAAGTGCAAAGGTGGCCAATCACAATCCTTCCTCTGAGACAGTTCAGCCCCATTTGACAGGTGCTTATTTTATACCGTTCTTGACATGACAGAAACCCTTGATTATGCGTCGTTCTCATTTCACATGCAAGCAGGTTAGCCAGTCATAACTGATGTCATTTACATGTAGAAGTCTTGAAAGTACACCAGCAAAAGCAGTCTGTGTAATTGTAAGGGTCAGAAAGGGCAGACAATGATAATGAAAACTAAATTGTAACATTTTTGCATAATCTGCATTAAAAATACAGTAAGTGCTTCACAGCATTATAATGTACATTATGAAAGACATCTACAAAAAATGATGCTAAAGTGCTAGATGAAGGCAAGGTGACCTGAATGTTAATACTGGTGGATAAGCATGCACAATTAAATATCCAATATCTGCTGATATAGGCCTATATGCACAATACTTACTGATACTGATAAATTAAAAAAAATCACCAATATTAGCTGATGAATTATATGGCACCAATATATATTGCATACCTAAATCTCAGCATCCCCTGAGCCTCACAAACTTTTCACACAAATTGAGTTCTTCCTCCTCGTAACCCTGTAAACATGACTGTCAGTCAGATTGGAGCTTGTAAGCTTTTGCCACTTTTCGAGACGGTCCACGAGTGTGCTTCGTGTTCGTCTCATTAGAGTTTCACATCTGAAACTTAAATGATTAAACCTGCCCGCTCATAATTAGTTTTATTTCAGCCAGTCATGGTGTGTCTATGGAGCATTAGTATGCGCTTTGAACACTTTGAATTATTGATTCCAGTTGAAATCATACTGAGGTGATGGATTTCTCACAGGAGATCTTTGAATTACTGCCTAGAGCCAGGCATGTTTGAAAGAATCTTCGTCATTATTCCACAGCCGTTATTATCATAAACCACCTCAAGACAGCGAGAGTTGTGCACCAAAGTCTTATTGCGTTCAAAAGTGGAATCTTATTTGGCCATTTCTCCAATAAACTCCAATATTACCATGCATACTGTATGCATGCCCCAGAGGCAGTGCTGCATTGTTGTTTGCTAAGGTGTGATTTGGAGAGCTCATCTACAGCTCGTGCTGGTAATATTCAGGTTGTCATCCAGGATGGCCTGTGTTCTGTGTGCAGATGTGAGTGAGTCCGGTGGGCAGCTTGCATTGGCTGTTTGAAATAGAAATGAATCGATCTCAACATTGGCTCACTTCAGAATGGGAGGAGCAGCTCCTCTCCCCTTCTCTCTCTCTCTCTCTCTCTTTCTCTGTGTGTCTCTCCCTGACTCTACCAGTCACTGACGTGTTGCTTCCAGGGAACCTATCGCTCTGTATCCAAACACTCCGGCGAGCGATGCGGGAGAGAGCAGCGCCACTTGTGTGTTGAAGGCAGGGACGTTTGTGCGCCGTTCTGCATTGCTCGTCTGTCCGCTTTCACGCTTCTCTTTTCTCACACATCCCACCGGATCAAGCTCGCTCTCCTCTCTGGTGCCGTGTGCGTGCGAAAGGGCTTTAATCGGAGGAGATGATCGGGGTAAACAGCGTTCAGGGGACCGGGAAGGTCCGCATGCGGGCCGGCGGCTCCGTCAAGTACGGCAGGGAGGAGCCAGTCAGGCGTCAGCCCCAGCACCGCTCCAAGTCTCTCAAAGTGTCCAGTTCTGCTGAATTCAACACTGGACTGCCCAAAAAGGAGAAGGTAACGAGCCTGACATTTGCTGTGGTGTTTGTGTGCCTGGAATGGAGGTGATTTTTCTTTGGCATTGTGATGTTGTTGGACTCGTTGTGGGATCTTTGGATCTCATTGCTGACATGATCTCGCATGCAGACTAAAGCTCTTCGTGTAACCCTGTTATTAAGTGCCTGCAGCACTGGGCGCAATACTCGCACTCAACAAAATGCTGCATTTCCCTGTGGATGAGACGTGCCCGTGTCCGTGTCCGTGTCCTTAAATTGGATTTATGTCTTTACCTGGCAGGCTTCTTTAAGTGATGGATGGTTTAATGACAGCTTTTTTGATGTTTGCTCCAGTTATTGAATGAAATGCATGCTTTTATTGTGATGGCATTAACGTGTCACCTTGACCCGGGTTAACAGAGTCTGTCTGTTTTAATGGCCACTGTGTTTGATTTATGATTCACAGACAGCGTTGTAGCCTCTCCGGTGTAACTCGCTCCCTCTTGCACACCCGTGTGTTTTCTGTTGTGCCGTAAACACGTCGGTGTAATGTGTCTGTGTCCAGCGGGCGGCATCCACTGACACACATCTCATGTGAGAGGAACATGGCTTTGTGTTTGGACACCTATGAACATTGACACCTTTCACTTTGAGTCAACTAAAATTGGAAAATTACTGCACACATATGCAGTAAACGACAGTAATGCTTATAAAAAAATGCTTGCATCGGTTGCGATTTATTTAAAGGAAACTGATGATTTGGCTGGATTTAGAGGCTTAAGTGATATGACTTGGAATATGTGCACATTGGAGTTTATGGGTATATGTGACCATTTTTAACTGTATAGGTTGTGTTAATGACTTATTCAGATTATTTTATATAGAAATGTATATATATGTTTTTAGAGAGAGAGAGAGAGAGAATGCACACACAAATATTAGAATTTTATTCATTTTATTTTTAAGATAGATTTTATATATAGATAAAAAATTTGTATTTTACATTTTTTTTCCACTTTATTCATATACAGGTGCATCTCAATAAATTAGAATGTCGTGGAAAAGTTCATTTATTTCAGTAATTCAACTCAAATTGTGAAACTCGTGTATTAAATAAATTCAATGCACACAGACTGAAGTAGTTTAAGTCTTTGGTTCTTTTAATTGTGATGATTTTGGCTCACATTTAACAAAAACCCACCAATTTCACACTGCCAAAAGCACCAAAAGTTGGTTAAATGACCATGGTGTTGGTGTGCTTGACTGGCCAGCAAACTCACCAGACCTGAACCCCATAGAGAATCTATGGGGTATTGTCAAGTGGAAAATGAGAAACAAGAGACCAAAAAATGCAGATGAGCTGAAGGCCACTGTCAAAGAAACCTGGGCTTCCATACCACCTCAGTAGTGCCACAAACTGATCACCTCCATGCCACGCCGAATTTAAAGCAAAAGGAGCCCCTACCAAGTATTGAGTACATGTACAGTAAATGAACATACTTTCCAGAAGGCTAAAAATGTTTTTTTTATTGGTCTTATGGAGTATTCTAATTTGTTGAGATAGTGAGTTGGTGGGTTTTTGTTAAATGTGAGCCAAAATCATCACAAATAAAAAAGAACCAAAGACTAAAACTACTTCAGTCTGTGTGCATTGCATTTATTTAATACACGAGTTTCACAATTTTAGTTGAATTACTGAAATAAATGAACTTTTCCACGACATTCTAATTTATTGAGATGCACCTGTAGTATAGTATAGAGTTGTCAGGAAGCCATGTGGGAGACAGTGAGGGCGATGACATAGGAAATAGGGTTGTGACGGTGAGGAAATTGTCCCACCGGTTAATCGACGTGTGACAACACTGGTAATACCGGTATCACCGCGGGGGTTCCCTCTTTTCCTCGCTTTTCTTTGCTTTTAAATAGCTTGTAAAAGCGGCGTGCGCATTTTACTTTCACTTTCAAATGGCGGCAATTCGGAGTAAAGCAATTGTTCGTTTGAATTTCAAATTGGCGGCAGTTCGGCGTCAATTGCTTGAATGCAACAACAAAATACAACGTCAAACTCACTTCAGCGTATATATAAAACAGAACTTTTATTAACAAAACAAATAAAAATACACCATGCTATAGGGCAGGCTATGCCTAATATAAAATAACAAATAACTT